TCAGGAAGGAAGAGATTCTTTATTGGATCACCGATCGGGACTCAGAGGGACTAATGTCACCAAAAATACAGCAAGTTCTGAGCCCTGAACAATAGTGCAGGCTCCCTATATAGGCACATAACTCCTCCCATTAATAGCTACACCCACATATACCTTTAACCAATCAATGAGCAGAATATAGACTTGTACATCTAGTCAAACCACATGGCCCATCCAAGACAAAGGAAATAAGTGCAATTTCAGTTCCTGCATTCCTGCACATTCTCAGTACACTGATGACAGTATCCTAGCTACATGTAGCTAACCAACTGACACAACATACACATATGCCACATGGAGATTTTGGCCTAATAAATTTTAACCATGCTGGAATCCCATCACATTCCCCCCTTTGATGCCTCTTGATATTTTACAATTACTTGAGGCATCACTTAACCTTGGTTTGCATACACCACAAGTTACCTTTGAACCAGACCAGACTTATCCTATGATGTGAATCTTCAACACTCGTCTTCCTGCATTGGTTCTCCCTGATCTAGAGCCTTATATTTATAAATTGCCATTATCTGTGCAGCAGCCTTCCTCTCTGCTATATTTTCTATCAGGCTTTGCACAGACCTAACTACTAAGGGTATAAGACACGGCAGGAGTAGACACAACATTAAAATCAGTAGGACTCCACCTACCACTGCCTTAAGCCCTCCAAACCACTCATACCAGCTACCAAACCAACTACTTGGATTGTACCCTTTCCATACCTGAGTAGGCACATGCGCTAGTTTAACCATGTGGCTTGTAAGTTCAGCTATTGCTTGCCCTTCGTCATCTATTTGAAGACAGCAATTGCTCAGGTTAAACTTCCCACATACACCTCCCTCTACTGCCAAAAGATAATCCAAGGCTAATCTATTTTGGTAAACTGCTGTCCTCATCCTGGTATTATGCTTCGCTAGAAGATTGAGCACTTGAGCTGTCTCATTAGTAATAATCTCAACTACCGCCTGTAGTCTAATAATGCGGTTGAGCATATATAATCGGAGTTCTATATCCATAAGTGCCATCTTCTGCCCAAGTAGCAGGTCCATAATAATTAATAATACGTTGAGGGGGCCACTCATTATCTTCCCAGCTACCTATATTCAAGGATGCTCTCTCCCTTTTATGATTTACATCGTAAACCTTAACTCCCAAGGTCTCTCCTGTTTCGATTGGCAACAAGAAGAAGGATGGCTTTGGCATACCTAATACACATGCCCCTTCCCAATCTTGTGGTAACTCCGAATAAGTTTTATTACCACAAATCCAGTATAAATTTGCTGGGGCTTTCCAACTAGATGTAGCCGATAAGTCAAACCATACCTCCTTTAAATGAGTGTAATTGGCAAACGGATTAGTAGGTTCCGAGACATTTGAAGCTGACCACCAAGTAGTATTTTAGTATTAACATTATAGGCTTTTTGTCCCAAGCACGTTAGCTCACCTACAGACGTGTTATACATTGTCCCTTTCCTGGCTATACAAACATGACCTATAATGGAGGTTTTTAACCACCATTCCAATTTACTTCTAGTACTTACTTGATGATCAGACTGGAAAGGTATCTGTTGTTCATATGTCTCAGAGCCAGGGTACCATATTTCCTTTGCCTCCCATGGCCACTGGTCTCCCATATTAGTACCTCCACACACATAGCAATTAGTTACATTAAGACTACCTGCAATACCCTCAGCCAAATCAATAAATAGGTTGTTAACATTATGGGGAATTTTATCCTCAATACTCATCTCCTCATAGAAGGAATGAGAAACCTGATGAGTTTGAGTTGCCACTGTCTCAGTTTCAAGACCTACATATATTATTGTTCCTGAATCTACTCCTGTGCCATATATTTGAACCCAAACAGACCTCCAAACCTGTCAATAAAGTACTGCAGATTGGAAATGGTCATGTGAACGGGGTTACACACATAGTTTTACAGTATGGTGTGGTAGGCAACCTTTGGATAATCATATCTTGATCCACTGTTTTTCCCAGGTTGCCCAACCTACACATGACCAATAGGGGCAGAAGTTAGTCTCTATTTGGGCAATCAGGATCAGTAGATCTTTTACTGGGACATAAGTATTTATCATTAAACCCATAAGTTCGTTCCCATTTAAGATTACCACATACATTCCAAAGTCTTCCACTACCCGAAATCGCCTTACATGCATCAAATAGTAGAATACCCGTGGAATGTATGGTGCTTATCACAGTCCTATTTATTAATGTCCCCTGGGAGTTACTATTCCGAATTACCAACCAAATTGTACGGGGTTGGAAATGGGGATCAAAACATTTAGACTCTCCTGATATTGGCTTGCACACACTATAATCAATATCCAAATATCTACATTTAGATACAGATCCCTTACATTCATACTGTGAGTGCCAGATGAAAGTTTGGGATATTTGGTTACCTGTTTTAGTAGTCTTAATGCAACTATCGCAATTCGGTATGTCTGTACTCCTACCTTCCTGAAAAATCATAAAAATACTAAGACACAATAAAACACATTATTCCTGAAATCCTCATTTTTCTTCAACCGTGCGATGGCCTCTCAGCTTCCCGATTGTGAGGGCTGCAAGGATGTTGTTCTTCTGATCCTCACTTTCCTTCACAGAGATCCCTTCAAGATACTCTGGCTATGACACGTAGGCAGGTGGTCAGGCTTTATTATGGCCGTCAAAACACCTACTTGATGATCTTTGTAGACTTTTAATTAGAATGTCTCGATATCCCCTCGTCACTCCGACTGAGTTGCACGCTTCAACCGGGTCCTGCAAGGATTCTCAGGATCTGGAGTAGTTTGCCAAGAGTCTGCTGCTGGTTTAACCTTAGAATGATGAATCCAAGGAGTCACTTCCGCCACCTTTACAGCTGTTGGGGTAGATAAAAGAACAACATACAAAGGCTAACAGGATACACCCCGAGCTTTAACTCAATATGTATTGGTGGGATATTACGAGCAAGTCCTGGAGGATTATTTTCTTCCCATACTCCTGGAATGTCAAGTAAGGATTCATCACTCTTAGGGTTAACACTTGTCACTATGGAATAGAAGCGTCATTCTTCTTCCCTCGGCACCGATATCACCATTATGCCTGGTAATCCCTTAAACTTCAGAGATGTTAATCCATTAGGTAAAAGGTTATCTGAGTTTAAAGCTTCGATAATAGATCTCGTCCTAAAAGTTGAATCGGACACTCTGGCATATATAGGAACTAATGCTTCACCACAGAATGTTCAGCACCTGTGTCGATCATGAAAGAACTTCTCTTTCCCCCTATTGCTACATCGACCATAGGCTACGCTCGACCAAGTGGGATGGAGCCCAGTCGGTATCAATAGTCTTCCATGATAGTGTCAGCCAGACCCACAAAATCTCTATCCTCTCTTTCTCTAGGTCTCTGCGTGGGTGGATAGTATCTGTCTCCTTGAACACTTCCTCTACTATTCCCACCATTCCCTCTAAAACTTCCTCTTACTCTATAACTACCACTATAACCTCCTCGTACCCTTCTCTCTCCTTGTCTATCACCTTCATACTGCTCTCTCTGTGGACACTCACTCTTCCAATGTCCCTCCTTTCTACAATACGCACATTAATTCCTACTTAAAGTCCCTTGCTCAGCCTATTCTCGTCTCCTCTATTCACTTCCCTGTCTTTTTACACTTAAGATAGCTACCGCTAGCATATCTGCCTTTTTCCTCATTTTACGTTCTTGCTCCCACTTTACCTCTGTCTCCCTATTACTATCACCTTGGGTCTGGCTGACAAATGCTGAGTCTATCATTCGGAAGCTTTCAGGATTGAAAGGAGTGTACAATCTATTTGACTCAAGCAGTGTCTAATATGGGACTTCGGCAAGGCTGCTCAATAATAGGTTCCAGTCTACGGGTAGTAAGATAAGTGTAAGGGGGTGAGCTAATTTTATTAGTCGGCATTTGGTGGATGAAAAAAACGTTTTTGTTTAAAGTGTTAAACCAAAAACCTACCAGTAGGTGTCACCAGAGGGTAATTGTATCAAAATAATCTTTATGGGTCTAATAAGAAAACTCAACTTTTAATATATTTATACATAAAATAAAACCTTATAGCAATAAATATATTAAAATAGGGTAAGCAATCCTACATCTATCTGTTATAAACAATGTATTATCAATGTAACTCCCGAAAATGGCCAGTAGGTGGCTTAGAGTGCCTCCCTAAAGTCAAATGAAACAAATAGACTTTAATTAATTATGTCCTATTTTATTATTACTTATTTTAATCAATGTCCACCCTGCTAGCTAGGCTTGATTAAATCTTTAGTTCTAAGGTAAATTAAACATTTCAGTTTGTAGTTTAGTAAAAGGGGACATTTTGGACAAAGCTGGGAGGGGCCCATCCAGTAACTAAAAAACCAATATACCATCTGATACCATTGATCATTGATTAGGGGGAGGGGTAGTACAGAAATACAAGAGTTTGAAACACAGGAACAGATAGGTATGTGGGTAGGCGGGGACAGTAGAGCAGGGGAGTGCAAATACTGATTATACCAGCCAGAAATGGGCGTGGCTAATCTGGCTCTGGAGGATGTTTGGGGGGTTGGTAATCAGATGCCAGGGGGGGAGGGGATGTCCAAAGCAGTTGTAATTAAGTCCTTAGTTCTGACCACCATGTGGCTACATTGTTTCCCATATGACACAGTTTAACTCACCAAGGCAACAATCAGTTTCCAACAGTCAATATATAGAAACTGATCATAGAATTCCGGCCTACTAGTTACAGCCACATGTACACCCTGCACTAAATTTAAGTGAAGACTGCTACATGGAGGCCATGCGGCCACCAGGACAAGCTACTCCCTACTTTTTTTTTTTTTTTTTTTAAACATACAAGACAAAAGACTAACAGCCAAGTGAATCAGATTATTTCAACAGAACGTCTGATTCAAAAAGCTGTACAAATATACACACAGTTTCAACAGTCACACCAATCTCCTTATCACCAGCAACACATTGCGCAGTCACTAGGCCCAAACACACAGGATCCTCACATGCTCAACAATATCACGACGTCGCACACACAAAATTAAATCAAAAACCCACCAAAGACTATACACTTATCAATGTAACCATTATTCAAACCATACAACTATCCACGCTATTAATCCATATAAACTAACCGATCACATAACATTTCAACAAATTCATCTCTACAATTATCTGTACTATAAATCAACTTTTGACTAACCAACTATATCACATTCTAGTAACCTCATCTTTACAGTCAGTGGTTATGGTACAGTTAGTAAGTGATTATAATACAGTTTTAAAGTCACAGATCAGTTAGTAACAGTTATGGTATTATACATATAACATAAAACAGCAATTGTTAGTAATTTTTACACAATGTCAGTGGTTATGGTACATGTCAGTAGTTATGGTACCGTGCGCTATTTTACAGTTATACACACAATTTACACTCCCACTAGACAGCAGAGCTCTAACTTTCTAGTAGGACATACAAGTTAACCAATTCACCAACTACAATATATTTAACAACATTTACAATAATCCCAACTAAACTATTGGCCAGTACCTTGAATAGACTACCTAAAACTATATACACCCGTTTTGGTTAGCCACACTGCCCAAGCACCACATATAGCGAACTAGAGGGCGGAAATTGCCCTTCTAGTCTATTTACTCTATCAAAAGTCTAGTGGGTTCCAAATTTACACGCCTTCCCACTTAGCCAAGATAGGTTGAGAGCTAGCGAACCGAATTTACACAGGCGCCGCTTAGTCTCCCGGTCCCTCCGACCTAGCGAACGTAATATACACCCTAGAACGCTAGTCTAGACAAGACACCGGTGTCCGGCTAGGGCTATTTACACAGGACCCCGCCTGACTAACCAGATCAAACGGTCTTACTAAAGAGCGTTCGATCGAGCGGTGCGCCTTCGCTCCTTCCCTCCGACAGAGGGGGCAGATTCCATACACAGATTTAAACCCCTTTTGGGCCTACCGCACAATCGGTATACCCCTAGTGGGTCTGCCGTCTAAAACAGCAGTTGTCTTACCTCCTCGTTCCTGAACCTGAGTTCACACTCATCGACGGGGACACCCCAGCACTTCTTACGTAGAGGCCGATGATCTCCTGGACAACAGACCAGTGGCGCCGAGACGAAGGGAGGTCCACGCAGAAGTTCAGGGGTGCAGCCGTAGAGAACGTGGGCAAAGATAGACCGTCTCACGCCTCTGCCTCTCAGCTACCGTTGAACGATGAGCTTCCCGGCCAATGCACCAAATGATACCGGAGAAACTGACGGAAGCAAAGCACAGAGGGATGGACACAGGTTTCTTCAGGAAGGAAGAGATTCTTTATTGGATCACCGATCGGGACTCAGAGGGACTAATGTCACCAAAAATACAGCAAGTTCTGAGCCCTGAACAATAGTGCAGGCTCCCTATATAGGCACATAACTCCTCCCATTAATAGCTACACCCACATATACCTTTAACCAATCAATGAGCAGAATATAGACTTGTACATCTAGTCAAACCACATGGCCCATCCAAGACAAAGGAAATAAGTGCAATTTCAGTTCCTGCATTCCTGCACATTCTCAGTACACTGATGACAGTATCCTAGCTACATGTAGCTAACCAACTGACACAACATACACATATGCCACATGGAGATTTTGGCCTAATAAATTTTAACCATGCTGGAATCCCATCACAGTTTGGCTTTGCCAGTGAGATATAAGTAGTGAAGATTTATTGCAGTCACTTATAGGAGTGAAATCTTTTAGTAAACAAACTTTGTCTATGCGTGATTAAAATTTTTATATGGATAGGGCACTTCTGTGAGTACATCTCCACATGGCTGCCTGCTCGGATATACTCTGTATGTACTTAGGAAATTCTTCACTGATGCATGCCTGTCAATGTTTAAAAATGTTAATCTCTGTATGCTGGATTGTCTTCAATCCCTTATAAATCAACAAATTGTTCTACGTGTCAAACAATTCCACATAAGAAAAACACAAGAAATATAAATAACCTTATTTCAAGAAAATATACTGTGCATGTTGTTCTAACAATATAAAACATGCAGCTTTGTATGTGTGTGTGTGTGTATATGTGTATATATATATATATATATATATATATATATATATATATATATATATATACACACACACGGAGGCAAGCATATGCTTTTAAAATTGTAATAGCAAATGAAAATACCAGAGGAAAAAAAGAGAACAAAATGTTGCCACATTTTGAAAACTGTGTATAGAATATCTAAAAAGCCAATAATGCAACCCACCTTCCACTTCCCCCACCTCAAAAAACAACAATTTAGATAACTACACAAATTAGGAATAGCCATCTGAATCACCTCAATGAAGCAACGAGAGGGTTAATATATTGGTGAATATGTCTTCAAATTCCATCAACTACATCTCCAATAACTTGGGCAGGAGCTCGGTGATGTCAGTGGATTAGTAACATCCACCTTGCATGTAAATGTATGAGTGCATGAGCTGGATGTCTTTCATAACGTTTTCTTGAAAACAAAATATCTACACAATGTTTACACATTATTCTAGCTTTGTCAGACAGTCAATCTTTACCTTCTGCAACCATTAAGAAAGAGACTGTCAAACCTGGTAAGTGGTGAATATTACCAGCAAATCCAATTGAGATTCTATATACTTAGTATCACTTGAGTCAATATGTGAGGCTCACATTTACAGCTCAATTCATAACTATTATAGACAGGGACATTTTCAAAAGTGACGGACACCTACAACTTTTTGCACATGGACCACACCCAAATAGAAGTTCATTGAGTTTTATTCTTCTATTACCAATTTCTGACCCCTAATACTGACAAATATCACTCTCACTTCCAGATATCTTTTGACCACAATGTACTCTTAAATTTACCAGACCCAACTACCTACATCACACTAAATTAGACATGCATGCTAAACAAATTTGGTTTGTACAAACCAAATTTCATTAATCTGTTAATTTGGTTCCTCCAGATTGCTTTAAATGATTTGTTTCATTAAAATAATTCAGGTGAAATTAATTGTGATGCAAACTCACTCACTAGCAAATGCAATGCAATTAGAAATTGTAAGCAATGATGCTTTAGCAAATTGCCACTCCTGTGCCTGGGCCACTATGCATCAAATCCCGTTTTTGATCAACATGCCAATGGGTGGTTGTTCATTCAACAATGATATGTAGTTGTCTGGTTTAAAGCTCAACATGTTAATTATTATCTTAATATTTGGAATTCATAACTTCCATCACAACACTATATTTATTTTATTTTGTGAATGAACCTACTTGTAAATGTTGCTCCAAGTTCTTTTGCATTTGATACATGGTCATTTGTTAATACTTTATGTAGTACCTACCAACATACTTACATACAGTTAGCAGAATACTTGCCTACCAATTTCCATCTATGGAACCTAACAGTTTTTAGAGAAAATACTTATACCTTTAACCGTTAAAATACCGGTATTCTTGGATTTCTGTATTGTCACTACATATAAAACTAAAACATATTAAACTGAATAAGTTTACAGGGTTATTTACTAAAGTAAGAATTTACGTTAGACCTCACCCCTTTAAAGCGGCACTGTCATGCTGAACTTACCTTTCCCCAATTGATTACTCTTCTCTTCCTCTGTCAGAATATGTTCTTCATTTCTTCCTGTTTGCTCTAGTTTTCTTTAAAACTTAAGACAAAGTAGGGACTATTTCTCTTCTGGAGGTTTCCTTCGCCTGACCAGCTATGACCAGCTAAGGAGCAAAGTGTGCTTCATTTCCGGTGGTCAGAGAAATGTTTCCACAATCCTTAGCTTTCCTCCCTGTTCCCACGATGCTTCCTGTCAGTATTGCCGAATAGACATGTGCAATTCGTTTCGGTCCGAATGTCCGAATAGATGAATTGCCGAATTGTTGAATTGACGATTGCCGAAATCCCAAAGTTCCGAAATTACCAAATTTCCGAAGTGTCGAAGTGCTGAAGTGCCGAAGTTGCCGAAGTTCTGAAGTGTCGAAGTGCCGAAGTTCCGAAGCACAGTATTGTCTAAGAACTAATATACTTATATACCCAGTGGAAGAATGAAGAATGTTACACTGTATACAATTTTAAATAAAAAGTATACAAACATAGCCAAGATTCAGTTGTAAGCATTTGCAACACTTACAACAATCAAGTAACATACATTCATATAAAATGTAAGTTACTTGGCCAGTCAATGTAATGACAGGAATGAATAAGTAGATAACTCCCTAATTCCCAGGGTATTAGAGAGCTATCTACTAAAAGGTTGAAAGACCTGAATTGGCCTTTCAGACAAATTTACTAATACTAAGTAAAGATTACTTAATATTAGTAAATGATGCCCCTACTCGCTATACCGCTACTCGCAATACACTATTGTCCTCCCCCCCGGCCCCCACCCCTGCGCGGCGGGTGGGGGCCCTAAATGAGAATGTGGGGGGGACCTTCTGCATGGCGGGTGAGGGGCCCTAAGTAACAATACTGGGGGCGACCTACTGTCCTCCCCCTGGCCTCCACCCAGGGGCCCTAAAGCCCCTAGTCACCCCCCATACCTAAATAAAAACTATCCCCTAAAAATAGTGAGGGGGGAATAAAATAACTAACTTGTAAAGAGAGAGAAAACTTACCATTTGATGTCTTCTTTCTTTTAAAATCTTAAATTTTCAGCCCCAAAAAAGGGCAAATAAAAAAACCATCATACCCGTCGAACTTAAAATAAAAAAAACGAGCGCAAAAAAAAAACCCAACAAAAAAGAAAAAACCTGACGCTAAAAAAATTAATATATCTTCACCCGGTGAGGGCACGGCGTGGACTGAGCTCCGCAGGGTGGGGTAAGGCTTATAAAGCCTTGCCCTGCCCTGCAATTAGGCTAAGAAAACTCTGGTTGGTTTAAGCCAATCAGAGTGCTCTTTGTCATTTTACACAGCGTGGGAAAATTCCAAAGAACTTTTCTGGTCTGTGTAAAATGACTCATAACACTATGATTGGTTGGCTTGAAAGCTAACCAATCAGAGTGTTATGAGTCAAATTACACAGGTCAGGTTTTTTATTTTTTTAAGTTCGACGGGTATGATGGTTTTTTATTTGGGGCTGAAAAATGAAGATTTTAGAAGAAAGAAGACATCTAATATTAAGTTTTCTTTTTCTTTACAGGTTAGTTACTTTATTCCCCCCTCACTATTTTTAGGGTGAGGGAGGTAGGTAGGGGATAGTTTTTATTTGGGTGGGGGTGACTAGGGGCTTGGGGACCCCTAGTCACCTTGGAAGGGGGGGAGAATTTGTAATTTAGGGCCCCCACCCGCCGCCCAGGAAGGGGGGGGATTAGTCATTTAGGGCCCCCA